GCAGGCGGAGCGCTGACAGATGCTTCTAGTTTGGGCGGAACGGCGTTCACCGGGTTGAAGCCGAGGATACGAGGCGGCTCTGATCCATCTCGTGCTGGAAGTTCGTTAATGGACTGAAACGAATACACGCTCTGCACCTTGCCGGTAGCAGCTAGGCGTCCAAGTGCTTGCTCACCGACACCTAGCCTTACGACCAACGACTCTCCTTGAGACGATGATTCCGTAACGCTTTCGCTGCGCGCCCGCTTGGGAACGCCATTCTCTTCTGCAACGGTCGTGGTACGTTGTCGCTTTCGTGCACTTCGAGGTTCTGCATGGATACCATCATGCGGTGGCATGGAGTGCGGTCTTCCATCCTCGTTTGGTACTGGCTGGGTGTACGCTGCAAATTGCGATTGAAATTCGTCCATCTTGCTTACTGACTGGGTTGACGGCTCGGATCCATCGTGTTCGGCGTCTTTTCGGGGCGATTCGCCATCGTGCTCAGCATTTAGTTGATTCTGTAATGCTTTCGCGGTATGACGGCGATGTTTTTGCAGCTGGTTCTCATGATAGTTGCAGGACTTTTCAATGACCAGCTGAATGAAGCGCTCCTTCAGGCTATGTATCGATTAGCGAGACGTCATACGGGCGCCACCAATGGGAGGAGCGTAGTCGCTTGCATGCGACACGTAATCGGAGGCAGTCTTAGTAGAACTTACTATTCGTAATCCTCAGGAATCGTATAGTGGCGGGCCTTGGGATATTTGCCGTCGTGTCGCGTTTCGCTAGGCTCCTCAATCCAGTGAGGCCGAGGCTCATCAGGTCCGGGCCAAATCTGGGGACCGTGTTTGTCGAAGAGCGTCGTCGCATCGGCCTTGAGCGCTTCGGAGTCGCGAATTACAGTGAGGTCCTGGTTCACATATGCGACCATGATCAGTTTGATGCCTTTGAGAATGGCCTCAATCGGTGGCGACTCCTTGTTGCCCTGCCGCGAAACGCCACGCTCGCTCTTGAGGCCGAGCGTGCGCTCAATGGACAGAACGTCGGTCTGGTTCCGTCCGTTCTTCATCTTGGCCGTGTGCGAATCAAAAGAAAGAAACATGGAACTGCATTGCATCCAGAGGAGAGGCTAGGCGGCAAGAGCCATGCGACGGCGGAGGGCGTGTGAAGTGACGAAGAGCAGGAGCGGCGGCGATGGTAGGAGGGAAGGGCTAGTTCTGCGTACGCAAAACTTAAGTCTGCTAGTCTAGCGCAAAGTCACTCGCGCATCGGATAGAGGGTACGCACGCAAATGCAACGATTGGCTCGCCTAATCAGGAGCTTCGTTACAGGCTCATTTTATTATCATAAGGTAAGATGGCTATACTCGGGACGCTTAGTTGATGCGCCACTAGATACGTCGCATCCCCTAGCCATTGGCCTCGCACCCGCAGCGAGCAGCACGCCTTGCGCATGTCCGTCCGGCTGACGATAAAGACAGGCGAGCGAGCGCGCGGGCGGTGTGGAGGAGGGCGTTGCCGCGCGCACAAGAGAGGGCTCCAGTGACGAGATTAGACTTGGGCAGGTCGATAGGCAAGCTTTGGCGTTCCATTCTCCATAAACAGCAGTCCCGCCTCAACGTTGCTTCCGCGCGATGCACGTGCGTTGGCTGATGATTACTCACTTGTCAATGTACTTGCGACGGAACTTGACAAATCTGGCAGCCGACGACAAAATCCCGTAGCATCGCAGCAGGATGAAGCGGCACAGCGTATTATCGTACCGCTGCCCACGATGGCTGCCAATGCCCTCCTGGTGCGTGCTCCAGACTAGATTGCGCGACAGGGCCCAGCCCTTGATACAACTTCCAAGCTTTCCGTTCTCTGACTTATTCCTGCCATCGACGGGGATCGTAGTGCCCTAATGGCCCTAATGAGCGGCCCTGTCTAAGTTGTGTTTCTGCCATCCCTTCTCGGTGCGCTCCCGCAACGGCTCAATCAGTCGGCCGCATCCACCGCCCAGAAGCAAATTTTCATTCGCTTCCTCGCCCTCACCTCGACATTCGGCTATGTCGGACGAAGGCATGGCAGGCTAATGGAAAGCTTCTTTCCCGATCCCTGCTAGCGCCGTCTTGTGCTCGCGTTTCAACATTACTCGCGAGCTGGGCGGTAGCTGGACCTGGCAACTTGAATAGTGAACCTGTCCTATACTCATCACACCAACGATGAGTGCCTCCGGCGTGCAAGGGAACGTCGCTCAGGCGAGCTCTGCCGACGACAATGCCAAAGTTCAGCGGGAGCTCGACAAGCTCTACAGCGACTGGAGCAACCTGCCCGAGGGCCACAAGCTGCGCCAGTTCCAAGATGCACTGAAGGACATCTTGGATAAGACTGATTACAATGAGATGTATGGTGTGGAGCTTGTGGCACCTGTCGATGGGTAAGATGGCCAACTATTAGCCGAGACAACCCTCCTGACATTCTGCCAGGAAGCCTGCACCACACACCACGCTCGTCATCCTCCAAAAGTTCCTCCGCGCCAATGTCGACGACCTCGAGAAAGCCAAGGAGCAGCTCACGGCCGCGTTGAAGTGGAGGAAGGAATATCAGCCACTCAAGGTGCGCGACGAAACATTCGATGCAGACAAGTTTGGCAAGCTGGGCTATGTGACTCGCGTCAAGGGCGCTACAGAGACCAAGAATGAGGAGGATGTCGTGACCTTTAACATATATGGCGCTGCTGCCAAGGATGTGAAGAAGACATTTGGCGATACAGATGCGTATGTTAGACATGAGTTATTGCTGCTACAGCGCTGACACTCTGCAGATTCGTTCGCTGGCGAGTCGCACAGATGGAGCTGACCTTGAAGGAGCTCAACCTCAATGCCGCTGACAAGAACATTCCCGACTACGGCAAAGGCCCTGACCCATACAAAGCGATCGCCGTCCACGATTACCTGTCCGTATCCTTCTTCCGTCAGCCGGCCGAAATCAAGAGCGCCTCGACCAAGATCATCGACATGTTCCAACGCTATTACCCTGAAACCGTGTCTTACAAGTATTTTGTCAACGTTCCTTTAGTCATGCAATGGATGATGGGTGTAATGAAGACACTCTTGTCCAAGGACTCCATTCAGACCATGACATGGATGACCTATGGCAGCGAATTGCACAAGTACCTGGGCAAGAGTGTGCCAAAGGAGTACGGCGGAGATGGAGCACCGCTTGCTGAGTCGGCCATAACTCCTAATTATGGCAACGCTGAAGCAAAGCCGGCCAATGCAGCTCCAGCTTCGGTGGCCGAGCCTGTTCCGGCAGTGAGCAATGCTACTGCTAAAGAGAAGAAGGCTGAAGAGCCCAAGATTGCTGAGCCTCCCGCGACTACAACAGAATCGGCACCAGCAGCAGCAGCCGAGCAAGCTGTGCCCGTCACCGGCACCACACCAGAGGTCACTGGCAAGCCTGAAGAGAAAGCTACTGTGGCTTAGTACGCTGCAGATAGCCTCTCTCCAGCTTTTCGTCGTGGTGCATCTCCAGCATGCAGCGCAACACCGGTTGCTTCCAAGTCTCGGTCGAGTCTCGAAGAAGTGGACGAGCTGTATGCGTAAGGCTACTCCAAGCTACGGAAACCCGCACACCCAGCACATCAGTCATTCCTGCTTCTCCGCTCTATACCCCTGTCTGTATGCTCGCATTACGATTAGATTAATGATAGACCCAAACTGTAGCGTTTCGTCTGCTGTTGTTCGACAGAACTTTCCGTCGTCACAAGTGTATCACCTGCGGACTGTTTCCCAACCTTCCTTCATCCTCATACATCATTGCCGCATTCACCATAATCGTGCTCGGAGGCTCATCTCGCCAGCAAAACACCTCTCCGAGCACCTCTCGTACACTCCAGTAAACAAACGCCAAAAAATGATACCACAGCACCAAATTCCCCAAATTTAACGCCCAATCCGTCAACGACTCCGGAGACTCCCGCTTCAAAACCTCAGCCAAATGCCTCTCCGCTCGATCCCACCTCACCACTTCTTTCCCACCTCTCACTTTCCCAAAGAGATCCGATCTCCCTGCATGAATATGTCCAAAAACATGTACAGCCGGTTTCACTCTCCTCACTTCATGCAACAAGAATTCATCACCCATCGCTTGCACTCCCGGAAGATCCAAATGGAATCTCGGAGGACAATGTGTGATGAGGATATCTGTGTCTTCGGGAATTTTACCAGTCCAGTAGTCTTGACTTCGAGGATGTTGGAATGCATGTTCGGGACCACCGACATGTGGGACGAAAGGTGAGCCGTAGATTTTTAGTTTTGTGGTTTGGTATTTGCCTGCGATTGAGGGGCCGCGGGTTGGGAAGGGGAGGGTTATGTGGCTGTCTTGGAGGTAGATGAGATTTTTCCAGTCGATGTCGGTGTTGCGGTCCGCGAGGGAGAGGGTTCCTCGGGAGCGGGGGTCGAGGTGGCTGTCGTGGTTGCCGGAGATTATGATTTTGTGTTTGTGGGGGAGGGAGGAGAGCCAGGAGATTTGGGCTTGGAGTTCTCGCGGAGTTCCGGCGTTGGTGAGGTCGCCGGAGTGGATTAGGATGTCGCCGTAGGGGAGGGATGAGGGGATGAGGGTGTGGGTGTCGGAGATGCAGACTAGGGTTATGTTTTTGCGGGTTGGATTGTGGGGGCGGAGGAGGGAGATGAGGAGGTCGATCAGGCGGGCGAGGAGTTTTAGAGGAGAGAGGAGTTGGAGGTAGAGGGATGGGACTGCGTAGGGGTTTCGAGGAGGTTTTGATTTTATCATGGTGATGTTTGGCTAAAAGTGTTGTTCGATGTGAGGTTGGAGAGGTGTACTTGCCTGATGGGCATGGTCTTGGCAGCGTGCCACTCTGTCTCAGAAGCTTGCCTCCCTCCTTCGCTCTGATGTGCAGTTCTTTCGCATGTGAAAATTCGTTGCCCAACAGCAGAATGCCGAAGGCCGTGAATCGCTTGATTCTGTTACGAGCGCGTGTTGAGTTTTCGCATGTAATGTGGGCTCGGTCTTGATCGCGGCACACAGCATCTGCTGCAAGCGAGGCGAGCTGCATTAGGGCGCATGGCACACCTCCATATCGGAATTCATCTGCACCAGGCCTTCAAGCATCGAAGCCACCTCTTCCCAGACCCGGTGCCAGCCGTTTGGTATGGCGTGTGGCCGAGTTGCCCGGTGAAGATCCTCGACATCCTGAACGACGGCTCTAAGTACAAAGGCAGGAGGATTCCGCAGGCCACCTGAGTCATGTGGCTCCTTGATACACAAGACAACGACACTCCACGACTGAGGTCAATCCGTGAGATTGATCTCGAGGCCGATCCAAAGACTGGGTTCCCTCGTATACAGTACGCCATTTTCTCACATACCTGGGCGCCGGACGATGAGCAAGAAATTAGTTTCGATGACATTCAAAGCGGAAACTTCTCTCGTACCAGCACTGGCTGGCGCAAGATCCAGCATTGCCGCAGACAAGCGGCTCAAGATGGTCTCGAATATGCCTGGATAGACACGTGCTGTATCGACAAGCGGAGTTCTGCGGAGTTACAAGAGGCTATTAACTCCATGTTTCATTGGTACTCCCGCTCGAATGTTTGCTACGTATTCTTGACAGATGTCTCGAAAGCTGAGCTCGATTCAGAGGAGCTCGCTACACATGAGAACTGCAAACACCTCAAGGCGAGAGATCGTGGTGTAAAGCTCATTGACAACGCCTTTACGAGGTCTCTATGGTTTAGTAGAGGTTGGACACTGCAAGAACTTCTGGCACCAAAACACGTGTATTTTTACGATAAAGACTGGCAGCTGCTCGGAGACAAGAAGTCCCTGCAGTGTTGGGTTTCGCGAGCGGCGGGAATCGATGGCGATGTTCTCCGTGGGGATTACAGTCTCCAGCAGTGCTCAGTTGCAATGCGAATGTCATGGGCTGCGAGCCGCCGCACGACAAGAATCGAAGATCGCGCCTACAGTCTGCTTGGTATTTTCGATGTTAACATGCCAATGCTGTACGGTGAGGGCTCGAAAGCTTTCATGCGCCTCCAAGAAGAGATCATCAAAACGAACGATGACCAGACTATATTCGTCTGGGAGAGTGATCAGAGTGATTATGTTGGCATGCTCGCCCCTGATCTTGACGCTTTTCAAGGCAAGGGAGAACATCATTATTACACTTTCTTCCCTTCGCAAGGTTTCTCTTTGTCCAACAGAGGACTCTTGATCAAGATGCCGCTCGTACAATGGTCTCTAGATATCTACATCGCCGTTCTATGCTGCGGAATCATTGTCAATGGCAATGGTAAGCCCCAAGGCATCTATCTTCAACGACTCGGCAATAGTGAACAATATGGACGCGTGCGTTTCCAAGGTCGCCATAGCGTACCAGTGGAGGGCGCTTTGCCTGCACTGAAACCCGTCTATGTGCGGCAAAGAGCTCTCTACCCGTCTGAGATGCACTATCTCCAAGAACGTGATTACGAATTCGGAATCGATCCTTTGCTCCTCTCACCTTCTTCACAGCAGCCGGTCAACATTCTCCTTGGCCAATACCGTCAGCAGGATCGCACCATTTCCCAGCCCCCTGGCTCGAAAATTTACCCCATTACAATTCTCTCCCTCGATCACCTACGTTTGCAAGCCGAATGGCTGGGCCTCGGATTTGATCACGACTTCCACCCAGTGATTGTCTTTGCAGACTCCATCGCGTTCTTCCGATCCGACGGCAGTCATCTCGAGCTCTCCACGCAAGCTCCAGGGGACGGATCTCTTGACCGACAGTCTTCAACCAATCCTCTCCGTGGCTCCGATCATGTTTCCAATAACAATTACCAGAAATTCCTGAGCTCCCTTCAGCACCCTACCTTGCTGGGCCAGAGCTATCAGAGCGCTGTTGGTATAATCGAACCGGTCCATTCATATGGGACCTATTGGGCCTGCAAATGTTATCTGGATAAGGAAACCCAACAATTTGTTCTCTTGAATACTCGAGCTTCCAATGGAGCACCAGTCAGCGTGACTGTTACCATTCAGTCATGGTCCAAGAAAGAGAACAGGGCTTTGTGGCAGGTTCGATTGACTGTGGCTCATGATGATGAGTGATATGCTCAGGGATACATACCCAACGCTGCGGAAGAATCGGAACAGCGGTAATCCAGTGCGGCCGCTGATTGCTGAGTTGTACTTCACTTACCATTCAGAGTCTACAAACCTACAGTACAGTATCTCCTTACGACCAATACGACTATGCAAGGATTGGTTTCCCGCGAGAGTTTCCGGCCGTTTCGAGCTGCATGAGCCCTATGTACAAAATGGGACATTGGTACAAAGCCCACAAGATTAAGCTTAGTCAAGGGTTTATGACAACTTGACCTATCTTGGAGGTGTCGCATTATCTCCGGAACAACAACTACTGTATGTCCGGCCAAGAAGTACTCTGATGGGCGCTGGCAGAAGAGTCAAGGAATCATGACAGTGTGAAAGGCGTCTTGCTATCTCCGCGCAAGCACATCCTACCCGCTGGGAACTACAGCCTCGTACGATTGTACGAATTAGCCCCCAAGCCTTGTTGTCCAGCTTCCCTTGTCTGTCAGCAATGTTGCTTGATTCCTTGGCATGGATTACGAATTTACTGCAAATGTATCTTGGAGACAGGGCAGGATTAGGGCAGCGGAAAATAAAGTTTTCTCGATCAGGATCAGTGAACGAACATCGTTCCTTTGGACTCTAAATCGGACGCACCTGCGATATCGAGACCAGCCAGCAGATATGCATATTCCGCAAACGCTGCGTTTCGTTGGTGATCTCTATCGAGCACCTACACAAGGACTGTCAGACAGTCTGTCTATCTCGTCACACGCTCGTCCGTTCGCGAACAGAGAGAGCGCTACATATTTCTCAATCGCTAGGGTATCGTATGTCGTCGCTGTTGCTCGCAATCTTCACCTGGTCTGTCCGAGTGCAGGGCCGGTGGTTTAGTGATCAAATACAATAGTCATGAAACGCAATATCATGCGCGGCCGCGCCTCGACACCTCAGCTGGTGCTCATTCCCGGGTCAAGCCATCGTTCATAGATGCCAGTGTGCAGCGTGAGACCTTACACTTAGAACCGGGAGAGACGAGGGTGTGGTATGGAAATTTGAGAATGTGTTTTGATGTAGGAAAGTCGCAAGACTTTGCCACAGAAAAGTGACTGGAAACAGAAAATTCGAGGTGAGGAGGAAGTCGTTTGGGCCACTTCCAAGTGAATAAGGTATTTCGCTATCTCCGGGGCAAAACCTATGCCCTAACCCGCTGCTGGTAAACTCAGCCTCGTATCGCTCGTTCTACGAAGTGCGAAAGCGCATTGTTCCAGCTCCCCTGCTGCGATTCCCGACAGCCAGCAAATCTACAAGCACTGCGCGTAACCGTCTTCGTAGCACCAGCACCCTGAGGTGTCGGTCGAGCATGGAGAAGACTACAATACATTTGTATCAGACCTTGAAAAATCAGATGTTCGTGAGACTTACAGCATAACACTCATAGGCACCCCCCGGATGGTTACTGCATTGACAGACACCGTTGGGGTATCCG